GTTAACACATTGCTAGCATTAAAAAAAGCATGCTAAGTTGGTAACTATTTTAATTTTAACACTACGCTAGTGCTTTATAACATGTTGCTAGCATGTTTCTACCCTGTTTTACCACATTGCTTTAATATATGTTTCCCATTAATTCCATTTTTTAATAGTGATAATGGTTAAGTTTACTTATAGAAAGTTCCTAGCATGTTTAGCACATTGCTAGGATTATTAATCATGCCGCTAACATATTTTAATTTGGAGTTAACAATGCTAACACTCACTAACATGTTGCTAGCTATGTTTTACACACAAGGACCATGTTTTAATGTGTTGCTCCTTTTAATTTACACCTCCTAACAGTTTAATAATGTTTAATCATGTTGATAGCAACTTTTAGCATGTTTTAGCTTAAAACTATCATCTAACATGTTTAACATGTTTCTACAATGAAGTCAAATGCTGCTAGCGTAGTTCAACATGTTTTAGTCACAGACAAAATATTTAGCATTAATTAGCATGTTGCTAGTATGTTCTTAATATGTTTAATGTGTTGGTAGCATATTAATCCTAGACTACTCTAAATTAACACAAATTAGCATTTTTGGCACATGGCTAACACATTTTAGCTGTTGTTGATATAATGTTTATCACAGTGCAAGTATAGCATGTTTTAACATGTGCTAATACATTGTTAGCTAGTATTAGCATACTAATTTAGCATACTTTTAGCATACTAACCTAGCTAGCATTAGCATGCTGATATCCTGTTTTACCATGCTGCTAGCATGATTTAAAGTTTTTATATTCTACCCTAGCTGCTAGGCTTTGGTAGAAAAAAACAGAGAGAAAACAAAACGTTTCTCCCCTTAGCTTACCCAGTCAATTATGCTACTTCCCGGACAACATTACCCATAATTCATTTCACTTGAGAAAAAATGTTTAGTATTATTGAGCATGTTGCTAACATGTTTTAATATGTTTAACATGCTGCTAACATGTTCACACTGTACTACATTAAATTAACACAATTTAGCATTTGTGGCACATGGCTAACTATGTTTTAAATTTAACATTGAAAAACGTATATAGTTAACTATATGTTTTTCAATGCTAAATTTAAAACAAAATGGTTCTAGATTGTAAAAAAAATTAGCATTTTTGTCACATGGCTAACACATTTTAGCTGTTGTAGATATGCATATAATGTTTAACAGTGCTAGCAAGATGTAGCATGTTTCTAGCATGTTGTAATACATTGTTAGCTTGTATTAACAATTGAACTATATTAACAAACTGTTTTTCCATGCTAAATTTAAAGCACAATGGTTCTAGCTTGTTAAACGAATTAGCATTTGCTAATGTTGCGTTCACATCAGAGGTGGAAGAAGCATCAAGCGTGAATGATTTACATGTTAAGTCAATGCAAAGACGCGAATAGACATTCTGCGGCACGATACGCACGAATGAGGCAGCGCAAATGATGCGATACGCGCAAATGAAGTGGTGCGAGTCAAGCAATTTGCGCGACTGACGCACTTAACACGTGTATTGTACAAATCGCTGGAGTTCGAAAATCTGAACTTCAGTGAACATTCGTGCCCCGTTAACCAATCAGGAGCTTGCTCTTGTGGGGGCGTGATTATGACGTACCGCCTGTTGTTGGTGTCCCGGGGTAAAATCCTCCTGTCGACAACGACAACAGTTGATCCAACTGGGCTTAGCTCAGTTAGAAGCACATCTGAAAGCCTCCATCATCCAGGTATAGTTTCTGGAGGAGCTGAACTCACAGAGCTGGGTGCACCTCTGAAAGGATCTATTGGACTTAGCCTTTTCAGCCTTCATAAAGCACACAAACACAGCTATTCTCTCAATAAAATCCATGTTAGCCATTTAGCAACAAAGCTAAAGTCACCGGGCAGACAGAAGACCCGCCCATGACGCGAATCCGCATCTGTTGTGACGTGAATTTGACGCGCGAATGAAGCGGATTTGATGTGGGAATGAAGCGAGTAAACTCTAAATGTTCACGCGTCTATTTACCTGCGAATATCGCGATTTATCCGTGCGTACCGCGTCTGGTGTGAACCCAGCATAAAACATTTTAGCTGATGTAGTTATGCTTATAATGTTAAACACAGTGCTAGCATGAAGTAACATGTTTCAATCATGTTCTGATACATTGTTAGCTTTAACTCTGGCTGCGTCCGAAACCGCATACTTCCATACTATACAGTACGCTAAAATCAGTATGCGAGAAGTGCTTCCGGAGAGATTCTGAAGTGCGCATTCCATGCACGCTATGCTATCCCATGATGCCCCGCGAGAGAATTTTTGAATGGAACAGAAGCGACGCAGCTGACGCAGGTAGGTCACGTGACCATGGCAAAATGGCGGATGTAGTACGTCCGAATTCCATTCATAATTTCCACAATTATACTATATAGAATGTACTTTTCTAACGGCCGAGTAGTACGTTTAAATTCAAATGCAGCACCTACTGAGTAGTAGGCAGTTTCGGATGCATCCTATATGTTTTTTAATGCTAAATTAAAAACAATGGTTCTAGCTAGTAGAATTAGCATTTCTGGCTCATAGCTAACATTTTAGTTGTTGTAAGCGCTAGCAAAGAGCTAGCATGATGTAGCATGTTCTAATATGTTGTTAGCTTGTATTATACACATTTACTATTGTGGATAAACCAATTGCATATTTGCTAACAGATTATTTTACACGTGCTATGTTAATATTTGCATTATAACATTGTTTATTAATTGTTATGACACCTATTCAGTTTTCTACATAACAATAGACGTACAAATTGACTAGTTAAACTGAAATCTAAAGCATGTCTGCCCAAAAACAGCTACCGTGGGTTTTAAATTCTGCTTTAAATGCCAGCTTTCAAGACAGATTATATAATCAGGGTATTCTGTCCTATTGTTCCCAGAAAGGGTCAAACAAAGATTAGCGCGCTACAAAAGCAGCGTGGAAACATTAAGACTCGGGCAGAAGCACTGGTCAGCAGGTTCACCAACGCTGGTTAAGCTCTGCTGGGAAAAGCCATCCTGAAATCAGATCAACATCAACAATCTGTCAGCGGATGCGTCACAATACACGCCGTGTGTGCAGATGGTACTGTATAGCTGCACATGATGACGCCACACACAGCTGCCAGTGCCGTAATTCACCCTATGCAAACACCTACACAGAAATAAGGTTTAATGTCAACTAATGCGCTTAACAAAAAAATCTAGGTATGAAATCGGTGAACTCTCCCTGACTTTAATAAAGTCACATTTTTGCAATTTCTCAGATGGCTTAAGATATTGTTGCAAATGTAAAAAAATAAATTAAAATTAGGTGTCCTTCATGTCTTAATGTTTATATTAATGTGTCAGTTAATGTTTGTCACAAGCTATAAAAAGTGATTAATATATGATTATTCCCATTAATTATTTAGCTAAAATAATAGTGCTCACCAGAATCAAAAAAGTTTAAATAAAGCAATTAATTTTCAAGTAAATAATGCTAAAAGAAACTTAATGGATATCAAAGTTTTTTGTTTGTAATGTTAAATTTTTTTTAAATATATATTTTTATTTATTTAATTAAGTTTATGTTTATTATTTATTTTATTATTATTATTATTTTTATTTATTTATTTATTTATTTTAATGCTAAAAAGCCCTTAATGGATATAAAAGTTGATTTTTTGTTTGTAATGTTTTAATTACATTTAATTTATTATTATTTTTAATTAATGTATTCGTTTTATCTTTTTTATTTATTCATTTTATTTATTTTTCATTTTATTTTAAAGCTAATTCTATTACATTTTCAAATTTATTTATTTAGTTTTTTTATTTATTTTATTTTTCATCTATTTTATTTTATTATTTTAATTTAATTATATTTCATTTTAATGCTAAAATGCCATTAATATATATAAAAGTTTATTTTTGTTTGTAATGTTTTAATTTAATTTAATTTATTATTTTTTTTAATTAATAATTTTTTTTACATTTTATTTTATATTTATTTTATTTTATTTATTTATTATTTTAGTGCTATTTTGATTACATTTTCAAATTTATTTATTTAGTTTTTTTATATAATTTATTAATTAATTCATCTTTTTTATTTTAGTATTTAAATGTAATTACATTTTATTTCAATGCTAAAAGGCCCTTAATGGATATAAAAGTTTTATTTTTGTTTCTAATGTTTTAATTTTAATTTATTTAGTGTTTTATTTATTTATTTAATGTTTTATTTATTTAGTAAGTTAGTTTATTTTTTTATTTTATTTGAATTTTTATATTTTAATTTACTTTATTTTTACATGTTATTTTAATAAGCTAAATATAAACACAATAGCCATTTTATTCCTCTCTTTGAACAAAACAAACAAACCATAAAACTGCTGAGCATCAGATTATAATAAGATTATTATACAAGACTATTAAGGAATGAAACATTTTAGGGAGAAAAAAAGCACTTGTACTTCACCAAAATCAGCATTGCACACAAATACTGCATATCTATTTACACAGTTTAGCTTTAACTAAATAAATTGCAAAGTAATACAGAAAATGTTCATGTGAATGACACTTTCTCCCACATTTTCCTCATATTTGTTCTCCAAAGTACAATGTGGGTTATTATCATTAAATTACAACAACTCAACTTATTGAAAAGCTACTCGTCAGAAAAATACCAGGTAAAATGTTTATAAAAATTTTAACATTCTGTTAAAACCGAATTAACACTTAAAATAAAGCAACTACGAACTAAACATTAGCAACAAACTACTAAACAAACTAAAGTCAATATGACACAATTCATCAACATCATCATCACCATCATCATCACTCCTGTTGCTTTACGCCTGTCAGTCTGAACTTCCTGTTAGATTACTTCCAACACAACTTCAAACTCCACTACTGATACATACAATTTGTACTCTAGGTAACCAAACACCAGGCGATCGGAATCAAGTTAAACATTACCTTGATCACAGCACAGTTTGTGACTCTGCAAAATCCAGCTTAGGTTTTAAGAGTCATGACTCACAGACGTCCTCAAACCGAAGGCATTTTAAAGAGGTTAGCCATTATTCGATGAGCCAGCATTGAAGAAAACGTCATGGCGGTGAATTCGAGTCAAATGACGGCTCCCCCTCTCTCTCTCTCTCTCACTCACACACACTCTCGCTCTCTGCTTGACTCTTGAGCCTCAGGCCAACGCAGGACCCAAACAAAAGGTGATTTCCTTCACAGTCCCGCCCTCTGTCTCCTCCCTCACCAACAACACGGCTCACATTTCAATCTTCAAACACGTTCTCATCCACTACAGATCATGGGATTTATATGTACAGTATGAAGCTTTTATGTATAGTGTTTACGCCACTTCATTTCTATTCAAATCATCTAAACAATAGTGTGAAGTTAATATGGGTTAATATGATTATCAAATGTTTCCACTTGTCCTTCACGTTCTTTATTAAAACCTAAAACTGGCTTACAGTGAGATATGGTTAAACAAATTTAAATACTCAAATCGTACATTGTAAAAAAATCTGCCTCAGTATATTGTGATTCGTGTTAGTTTGTTGTTTTATTTAGGATTATGTATTGCATTTTGGTCCTTTTATCGCTACTCTGTCCAATTTTTATGTTAACAAATTGAACTATTTTAGTCATATGAAACAATATAATAAATAAGAAACAGTATAAAGAGAGGATTAAGCCTATAAGATAACAGATAAAGTCCAGGCAGTTTAGTACTAGGTTTATATACTGTAATTTACAACACCAAACCTGACAATACATCACTTCACACTTTTAATAGTATCATTAAGAGTCACTTTTACAAACGTTTCTGCATGAAATCTTGTTATATAAAGAGGGCCCCGTTTACACTAGTTCAGATCAAAAACGATCCGCGTCCAGACTAGCGTTTCAACTAGAGTTTCTGAACATATCTCCGTCCACACTACGCCACCAAAAACGTATATCACGTGACCATTCGCGCACTCTGGGCATGCGCGTTCTAGTATAAACAGAAAGCATGCGTCACGCTCGGCATTTGGTTATTGTTAGTCAACAAACGCCGGTTGAACAATGAACGCGATGGCAAAGAAAGCAAGAGAGGTATTTTTGTGGACAGATGACGAGGTCGAGTTGTTACTAAACGTAACAAATGAATAACTGCACAATGGCGCCTAAAACAGACAATAGTGCAAACAACGCTCCCATTTCTGTGTCAATGTTGTTGTTTACAGTGAAGGCTGGTCTGCTGTCTTCCGGTAGTGTTAAAGCCATGTGTTATAGTCATGTGATAGGGGCTTGACGAATAAGGGAAGGATACGCAATGACACAAAAGCCCCAATCAGCTAGCGAATCTCAGCAGCCCCGCCTCCGTTTTCAGATGTCTCCGTTTTCCCTCATCCACACTGAGAAAGAGCAACAGCGTTTCAGAATGAAAACAGCTAATCTAGCGTTTACAAAACACTCAGTTTTCGGCGCTCGAAAACTCCGGCGTAGTGTGAACGGATGGCGTAACCGTACCAAAACTTATGCAATTTCAAACTTAAACGCATTAGTGTAAACGGGGCCAAAGATTAAGGTCCCATAAGTTAACTCAAAAGCATAAATAAAATGATAAATAATGATAATAATAATAAATACAAAAAATGTAAAAAAAAAACTGGGTATGTTGTCATGGATCGCCTGTGATAACCGCGGCTAGTGTCACTGTTTGGCAAACAGTGCTGACCATTATGTCTCGTTTCCATTGAGTGGCACAATACGGTAGGGTACGGGTCACCTTTATCAGGCTTGCGTTTCCACTAGCAAGGGTATCCTTTTGGTGGGCATGGTGTACGACAGAGATTCAGTCGACGTCATTCTCGCTCGAATAAATGTCGACAGTCAAGCTGTACAGGTCGTTCAAATATCATATGAGAAGCACTTCTCACAAAACAGATGCTTCATACACATAAATACTTGTGTATAAATGTTTATTACTAACTTTTCTATGAACATGATTTGATTGAAACTGCAGATCAATGACAGTGTGAAATAGCCTACAGTAACGTCTGCAATTATATAAACTAAATAAAAGGTCACGGTCCCTTTAAGGCAGGGGTGTCCAAAGTCGGTCCTGGAGGGCCGTTGTCCTGCTGACTTTAGCTCTAACTTGCTTCAACACACCTGCCTGGAAGTTTCTAGTATACCTAGTAAGAGCATGATTAGCTTCTTCAGGTGTGTTTGATTAGGGTTGGAGCTAAACTCTCCAGGACACTGGCCCTCCAGGACCGAGTGTGGACACCGCTGCTTTAAAGCATGTCATTTCACTTGGTCGGCCATCTCTGAAACGCCTCTCGGGCAGTACGCTTAGGCATTCCGTCTGAATGAGGAAACATCAAATTCTCCAAAATTGTTAGCCAAACTTAAGATTACATTACAGATTACATATTACACATTACCAATATAATTAAACAACGACTGTTGCATAAGTTTATTTTCTTAACGTCTGAATCAAATAAAATATGCTTATTTTCAGGTTGCCAGAGCCGATACGCATGCGCACTCGAAAGGAACGAGATCACGACACCAACCTCATTTACACCCATTCTACCCATTATCATCCTCAGAATAATGCTTTATCTGACCGCGCTGCTCTTCTGAAGTAATTCACAACTTGGTCTTAATAGCGAATCTCCTTCAGAAATGACAGCGACTCTTTGTTTACAAGTTTGTGAGCGTTTGAGTAGTTGCTGTCATGTTATATGCGTTTGACGGACTGTACCATGCGTTCATTTCATACAGATCACAGAAAACTTATGCTTACAAGTGCAGTTGGTTCATTTAAAGTACAGATTTTAAGCTTTATATGGATATATTTCTTGTGTATGTGAAGCAAGCATCTGAGGCTGCTTTCACACCTGTGAATCGATTCAGTTGTTCCGAAACAGAGATAACAATTGTTACATTGTTGCTCTTTGCTCTTGGAGCGGTTTGCTTTCACACTGCAAAGTTTCTAATCGGACCAAAAGAGCTAAAACAAGTCACGTGCGAGTAAACTCTCCTCACATTAGTCAGAGTGTCAGGGTTTATTTTGTAGCGTCCCGCTAAGCTGTCAGGAGAGGTGGTGGTTTGGTGGTGATTGACAGGGTGAGCGCGCGCGACGTGTCTGAGGAGAGACGGATGAGAAGCGGTGGAGGGAGAAGGGAGGGAGGGGTGAGAAGGGTGCGCGACGATGCCTATTTGAGGACCGGAGGGAGACGCGAGATTACCGGGAGATCATCACTCGTTTGCGGGCATCCGGAGACTCGCGAAACTTCCCGCCCTACTCATAATTCTCTCTTCATATAGCCGTAAGCCTATCACATATCTATAAAACACTGTGATATAACCGCGCTCGGATCGGATCACTTTCTCACTGCAATCGATCCGCTCCAGGGTTCGTTTCAATCGAGCCGAGACCACCTTACTCAAGCGATCTCAGAGCGATTACTTTGGCGCGGAACAGAGTGCGATTGCCCTGTTCACATATGCCAATCGAACCGCACTAACTGGGCAAACGAGATACGTTCCGAAACAAAAGTGTAGGTGTGAAAGCACCCTGAGATTCCAGTGCATTTGTTGACCAGCATATTGTCATGTAAGCACACGTCTGATCCGACCTTTCCCCCGGAGAAACGTCAGTCTGTAGGGATAGATGATTGGCTTCTGCACTAATAGACGGGGCTTGATTTGCCATATTGACATTACACTTTTCCCCATTCAAAACTATTCGAGTGACATGTCTTTTGTGTATTCTTTGCCAGGAGTCAGAAGGGAAAAAGATGGTGTGAACACCAACCAGCCAAAAAGATGGCAAGGAGGGAAAATCGAACCTGGGTTCGGACCAGGCAATTGAAACAAGTATGAAAGAACCCTTAAGAACTGACCCGACCATGGTCAAAAAGCAAGCAGGATTAATATTTACATTCGTTTTTTTTTTTGCATAAGACAATTCAAAGGCTCACTGGTTAGCACTGTCACCTCACAGCATGAAGGTGGCTGGTTCGAGTCCCAATTGGGCCAGTTGGCATTTCTCTGTGTGCGCTATAGGTCAATTGGATTAACTAAATTGGCTGTAGTATACGAGTGTGTGTGAATGTAAAAGTGTATGGGTGTTTCCCAGTGCTGGGTTGCGGCTAGAAGGGCATCCACTGCATAAAACATGTGCTGGGATAGTTTGGCAGTACATTCAGCAGTGGTTTCCCCTGATAAATAAAGGACTAAACTAGATAAATGAATGAATGTTTACAGATATGCCTGTACAGTGTAAATGTAGTCAATGGGGACAATATCCGATCTGACATGGGGCGAGATAATGATGACAGAATTTTCAGAAATCCACCTTGTGCCAAAACCACAGGACGCAAGCAGAACGCTATAATACACCTGTCAATCAAAGCAAATAAAGCATCCGTCAACTGTAATGTTCTAACAAGGCCTCTGTCAGCACGTTTGTCAGCGGTCTCTTCATTCTTGTCAATCTTCTGAATCTCTGATGTGGCTCCAGTCAAGTCAAAGCAAGTCAAGAAGAGGATCATTTATAATCAGATAAGTCCAGTGTTAAGTGCACTTTTAATGAAATACGCAGACCAATTTCTCTAACCACAAGTGTTTTATATAAAAACACATAACATTCATGGACAATGATTTTTTTTCCCTCCTGCACTAACTAGTTTGTCCACAAGTTGGCGACAGTGATCCAAGCCCAGTGTTTGGCAGATGGAAAAAATAATGGAAGACAAAACTACAGCAAAACAAGATTGCAAGCAACAATAAACATCTCACAGTTACTATTCAAACACACAATTCTAGTTTAAATGGCTACATTTTAAGTCATATCTTCTGGAGAATTCTGGAGGATAATGAGGACACAAATGAACTATACCGGCTTTAAATATACATTAAATGTTAGAAAACCCCCTGAAAAAGTCACATTTGAGCCAAAATCAATGTTCCACACAGATGCTGCATATTTATTAAAATTGTTTGGCTATAATTAAATGCTGACTCTTGCAAAGTATTACAGAAAACGTTAATGTGAAGCCACCTTTGCTCCCCAAAGTACAATATGTGTTATTATTATCGTCAAAGTATTTTTACTATAAAATAATACAAAACACATTCAATAAAATGAACTATACAGTTTTTTTTTTTCATTTATTTTATTTATTTATACAGGGAGAATGTACAACATGACATGTTGTGCCAGAGTTAGCTTTAAAGCTAATTTACATCAATAGTCCCTGGGCAGGAAGTTGTGCCAAATTTAAACGTAAAAAAAAAAAAAAACCTTATATTTTTATATGTTTATATACGCATATTTGATTTTGTTTAAGCCAGATTTTACTTATATAGGTTTATATATATATATAGGTCAGGTTTTACATATATATTCCATGTTAAAAAAACTAAAGAAAAAACTCTGAAAAAGTCACATTTGAATAATGAATGTCCGAATTATTTGATATATTTATAAAAAAAAATTATTACTTATAAAAAATAAGTAAATTATATTATATATAATAAAATATGGTGCCCCACACCAGTGATGATATACAGCCCTATAGCACTGCTACGAGTGTGATATTGCGTTTATCCAACAGTTCGATGGCA